ATGACTTGTTCAATTTCTTCCCTTGTTATGGGTCTGTTCAAGTTTTCTGTCTGAGTGGGATGGTTTAGGTAGGTCTTGTGATTCTAGACCCTTGTCCATCTCTGCTAGGTTCTCAAATCTATTGGAGTACAGTTTTTCATAATATTCTGTCAGTATTTTTTATATTTCAGTTGGTTCTGTTGTGATGCCACCCTTTTTGTTTACAATTCTTGTGATTTGGATCTTCTCTTTCTTTTCTTTTGTTAGGTCTGCCAATGATTTATTGATTTTATTAATCTTTTTGAAGAACCAGCTCTTCGTTTTGTTGATTTTCTGTTTTTTGTTTTGTTTTGTGTTGTTTTCTGTTTCATTTATTTCTACTCTGATCTTTATTGTTTCCTTGCTTCTAATACTGTAGGATTCTTTGGTTGTTCTGTCTCTAGTTGTTGGAGTTAATGAGTTAGAGTGTTGATTTTGTTTCTTTCCTCTTTTATGATGTATGAATTTATTGCTATAAACTGTCCTCTGAGTACTGCTTTTCCTGTGTCCCATAGGTTTTGGTATAATGTATCTTTATTCTCATTTGTTTCTAGAAATTTTTTTATTTCAGTTTTTGTCTGTTCTGTTACCCAATAGTTTTTGAGCAGTGAGTTGTTCAGCTTCCATATGTTTGATGCTTTTTCCATGCTCTTCCTATTATTAATTTCTAATTTTATAGCATTGTACTCCGAGAAGATGTTCTGCAGTATTTCAATGCTTTTGAATTTAATGAGGCTTTTTTTATGTCCTAACATATGGTCTATTTTGGAGAAGGATCTATGTACACTGGAAAAAAAATGTGAATTGTGCTTTTGTCGGATAAAATGCTCTATATATGTATATGAGTTTGACTGTATTTTTCAGTTCGTCTACATCCTTGTTGAGTTTTTTTCCAGTTGGCCTGTCCCTCTTTGAAAGTGGTGTGTTAAAGTCTCCTACTACCATTGTAGAGTTGTCTATTATCCCTTTTAATTCAGTTAATATTTGCTTCACGTATTTTGGAGCACTTTCATTGGGTGCATAAATATTTATTATTGTAATGTCTTCTTTGTCGGTTCACTCTTTCAGCATCATATAATGTTCCTCCTTATCTCTTATGATGTTTTTCACCTTAATGTCTCTTTTATCAGAAATCAATATTGCTACTCCTGCTCTGTTTTGGTTTTCATTGGCTTGGTATATTTTTTTCCACCCATTAACTCTTAATTTGTTTTTATCTTTGGTCTAATATGGGTCTCTTTTAGGCAGCATATCGATGGGTCTTCTTTTCTTATCCACTTTGCCACTCCCTTTCTCTTGATAGGTGCATTTAGTCCATTCACCTTAAGTGTAATTAGTGATAAGTATGAATTGATTGCTGTCATTCTATTGTGTTTTTTTTTGTCATATTGTTGGTGTTTGTTTGGTCCATATACTTTTCTGTGCTGAGTTCAGTTTGTTGGCTAATGCTTTCTCCCTTTTCTTCTTTATAGTTGGTTTTATGCTTATTAAACCCATATATTTTCCTTCCTCCTGGATTTGCTTAGAAGAATTGTTACTTTTCTCTGTGGTTACCTTGGAGTATATTCTTGTCTGTACATTTTTAGAACAATGCATACTGTGAAGACACTGGCCTGTTTTCTTCTCCATTTGAAAGTCTGTATCTAGAAGTTTTATTCCCTTGATAGGTTAGCTGCTGTTGTTGTGTGCTGATTGAGTTCTTTGGTTTTTAAGGTACAATGTTTTATGGTCTTATTTTGAGTATTTATTTTAGATTTGGTTTTAGTGTTGATGCCACATATACTGGTTTTGTTGATCTCTGTTGTGGGTTCTATATTGGAAGGACTTCCTTAAGCATTTCTTGTAGGGTTGGTCTGGTTTTCACAAAATCTCTTAATTTCTGTTTGTCTGAGATTGCCTTGATTTCACCCCCATATTTGATGGCTAATTTGGCTGGATACAGGATTCTTGGTTGGAAGTTCTTTTCCTTCAGTGTTTTATATATGCCATCCTATTGCCTTCTTGCCTGCGTGGTTTCTGCTGAGTAATCGGAGCTCAGCCAGACTGTTCGATTATTATAAGTAATATTTATTTTTTCCCAGGCAGCTCTCAAATTTTTTCTTTGTCTTTAATTTTGGAAAGTTTGATTATAATATGCCTCAGTGTTTTTCTCTTGAGATCTGTCTTGTGTGGGGTTCTATGAGCTTCTTGGACAAATATCTTTTCTTCCTTCATGATATGGGGGAAGTTTTCTATTAACAGGTCTTCCACAATTTTCTTGGTGGTATTTTTCGCCTCTTCTGGTTCAAGAATTCCAATAAGTTTTATGTTGTTTTTTCCTCATGTCATCACGTATAATTCTTGGATTCTTTTCATTTCTCTTAAATCTTTGTTCTGATTTTTCTTCATACAGGCTAGTGTCTAGGGATTTGTCTTCTAGTTGGGATATGCATTCTTCAGCCAGTTCTAATCTATTCTTTTGTGCGTCTACTGTCTTGTGTAATTCTATTATTTTGGTACTCCTCTTCTGCATTTCGCTACTCATCTTCTCCATTTCCAGCTGTTGTTTTTGTATGAGTTCTGATTGTGCATTGTGCATTAATCTTATTATTTTGTTCTTTAATGATTTTCCTGAGTTCTTCCAGGAAACTATCTGTGTTCTCCTTGTTTCTGTTTGGGGTTTCCTTAGACTCTTGTGTAGCTGTATAAATATATCTTCTAATTTCCTTCTCAGATAATTTCTATTACCTTCTCTTCCTCCATGTACAATGAGACTTTTGTTCAAGGTTTTGCTTCTAATGCCTTGTCCTGTTTTTTTGTTTGATTTGAGGTTGTCTGTTGTTTCCTAGACATTTTGAGGTTGTCTTTAACTGTTGGTTACATATTGATTTGTTTTGTCTTGGTTTTATGGTTTAATGTTTTGAAAAGGTGAAGCTGATGTGTTTTATTTTATTTTTATTTTTTTTTTACTAATTAATTCAGGTATGCTGGGTCACTCTGCAGTTTTCTTTGTGGTGTTGGAATCACTGTGTGGAATATGGGTTTCTGTTTTGTAAAGAGTGTTTAGAGTTTGAACCAGGAGGTTTTATGTTGGCTGAATGCGCTTTCTTCTATTGGATGAGGGAAGTTATTGGAGGAGAAAGTGGGAGCGGAAAAAGGAAAGCTTGCTGTTGCTAGGGGTGGTTTCTCAGGCTTTGAGTGGGCTGCTACTGATGACATCGTACTTTTATTTATAGGCCCACAGCTCAATTTCACCAGAGACTCCAGTTGATAGGGGGTCGCCACTTTCCACCAGGTTCAGACACACAGAGAAACCCCACTCCTGAGGCCCCTCGGCACCAAAAAGCCAACTCAAGACAACTTCCCAGCTCCGTGATCCACTGAGGGGTATTCTCTCTCCAGGCCACCCACCCACAGCACCTGCCCAACCCACCCAGACTGCAGTTGGCTCAGGAGTTCCTCTGTGAGTCCGCCCACCTGAGGTGCCAAAGATGCACTCAGTTTCAGCTGCACTGGAGTCAGGAGCGTGCCTGCTAGTAATCTGTGGTCCCGATATTAGTGATAAAGTCAAGCACAGACCTCTCAGTGCCACTAACCTGACCCAAGCCTATTCAGTGACCTGCTGAGAGGGGAGTGAGCCCACTCTCCTGGAGCAACAATTGACTCTCTGTTTGGGTTTCAGTGGTGCTGGACGTGCCGCTTGCACTTAGCCAACCCAAGTTACCCATAAAATCAGGTGCTGAAGGTAGATCCTTGGTATGCTGGGGTGATCGCTGGTATGCTCATGTGGTCGCTGCTATGCTGGTATGGTGTGTCTTCTGCCTTGACCCAGGGAAGTCTCGAATAGCCATTCTCACCTGCCAGTTGCTCGCCAGGGACATCTCTAATGGCCTTTCTCAACTGCCTGTCCATGCTGCACAGCATAGATCTTCTTTTGTTTTTTTCTCCTGTACCTTTCTTCTAATTCTGCTCCTCTGAGTTGGTGCACTCTGACTCAGTGAGCTGTTCAGAGCACCAAAATCCCTAATTCAAACTGCTGTACCTGGTTTTTCAAGCACTAAGATGCTAGAGTGAAATAACGTGGTGATTACTGACAAGACTCCATTTTGAATCCCCATCCTACAGTGTTGCCAAGTCCAAAGTCTTATTTTTTTATTTTCTTGTGTGTGTGTGTACTGATCAGATTTAAGACTTTTGCAGAACAGTGCATTTAATCAAAATTTAAAGTGTTTCTAGAGTTCATTATTCTTTGCAAATATGTTCTAAATTTTTCTAATATGAAATTTAGTCCCACTAAGTTCTTGCTCAAACTTATTCTATATTTATAAACTGTATACCAATATGGGTCTATTCACTGAGTATTCACTCCCATTTCTATTGTTGAAGATGTCGTTGAAAAAAAGGAAGGTAACATCATGGAGTCATCCATTTTCAGTACTAGGGAGAATTTTCAAATGAAGATACTGCTGTCTTGAGAGTGACTTTTTCAAAGCCCCATAGCTTGTAACCAGAACTAGAACCAAACTGAGGGTATTTTGAAAGTTAGTCCATTACCCGTTTTTATAGATGTATAGCAAAATAAGTAAATAAAATTGAGGTCCACTTCTCAGAATTCTTTTACATATTCCAAGTAATGGATCCCAAGCATTCCTTGGTTCTTTCTTTCATGAGTTTTAATTTTATGGTGGCTGCATCAAGCACACTGTGAGAAAATATTCACTAGTCAGGTCACATAATTATCTTAATTATGGCCCAGCAACTGAGTATTACACTAAGTCATCAGTATTACATAAGTTCACAGGAAAGCTGGGTTAAATTTGTAGATCTTCTTACCTCACCTCTTGCCTTTGAAATGATCCAGTGAGCTTAGAGGATTCTTGAGAATGGGCTTTAAGTACCAGGGAGTCAATTAAGCTTACACACACACACACTTAATCCTAACTTGTGTCATTTTGTACCAAGAAGAATCCATTGTTTCACTCATTTGTGTTTTTACATTTCAGGAAATTCAGCCAGAATCTGGTTGCTCAGCTTTGGTATTTTGTGAAATGTGTTTATTTTGGATTATCTGCCTACCAAATACGGTGTGGCTATCCAACACGAGTCCTTGGAAACTTCCTTACAAAGAGCTACAATTACGTCAACCTCTTCTTATTTCAAGGGTAAGTTCACTCTAATTGTCACCATCACTTATAAAGGTGAGACTGACAATTGAGATAATTTATTTTTTTCTTCCACCTGGTAAGGAATGGGAAAAGGAAGAATGAGGGAATAAAGCAATTGGTAACTCTTGCAGTGTGTGGCAAAAGAATGACTATGCCTCTTTAAGCACATTTCTATGTGTAGTTGACACATTGGCCAGCATATTGTTCTAGGATCATCTATTTTATTTTATTTCTGTTTTAGTATCCTATATAATTATTGTGGTAACATTTTGTTGTTGTTTTTGTTATGTGCCGTCGAGTCGGACCCGACTCTTAGCAACCCCTCCTTGGGTTGCCGAAGAAGTATCACTATGGAAGTAGATTGCCCAACCTTCCTTCTGAGGAGTGGCTGGTGGGTTTAAACCACCAGCTTTCTGGTTAGCAGTCTGGTGGTGCACTGCCTAAGGCATTTGACTGCTAACCAGAAGGCTAGTGGTTCAAACCCACCAGCCACTCCTTGGAAGGAAGATCGGGCGATCTACTTTTGTAATGATAATGCCTTGGAAACCCAAGGGAGAGGTCACTATGAGTCAGATGTGACTCCACAGTAGTGAGTAAGGTAACATTGTAGAACAGAAAAACAAGGATATATGAGTGAAATGTTAATAAAATTCTGTGAACAACATACAGAATACTTGAAATCTAGACGATTCCAAAACTCAGCCAGCTCAGTGTTGAGTAAGTTTATTCACTGCATAATACCAAATGGAATACCACATGACTTGCTTGTTCCTGATAGTAAATTATTTAGGTACTCAAAAAAGGTATATTTGTTTTCCCATATGATGATTTAGTGGCAATATCTCTTCTGTGTTCCCTGGGTAGTGATGCCATGTATGAAAAGTATAGCTGCTTGTGGGCCCCACTGGCCCCTTTGTGCCAGTTGGCCTCGGAATGAGTAGCTGAGCCACAAGGAGAGCCTTCAAATGTTAAGCAGTATTTCACATAGTGCTATCCTGTGTCCAAGTTGATGTCTTTTCCAGGGGTTTTGTTCATTCAACAGATCTGAAGTATAATTTCTGAGGGTAACTCACACTATTCTGTGGGCCCTGGGATTATCCCAGGTTTTCAAGCCTGGGAGAAGCTCTGTGACAGTCAAGAAAAAAGAACTTGCCTTCAGACCTTTCAGAGGACCCATGCCAAGCCATTCCAAACTAAAATACAAATTGTCCAGCCTGAATCACATCAGCCTTAGCAAGCCCATTGCTATTGTGTCTACCACCCAGAACCAAGGCCGTTCCTGCTCCAGTTGACTTCTTTTTTACTGACCACACGTATAATCTTCACTAACTCATTCTATAGCAAAAGCACAGTTCTTCCAATGTTAATAATTTTCAAAAATTCTATACTCAATAGACTCTCATGATACAACAAATAAATGTAAAAATAAACAAGCAACAACAACCAAAAAAAAAAAAAAAACAAACTAGTGTATCTCAAAATATATTTGAAGGGGAGATTCCGGCTTGTTAAGACAATTTGGAAGGAGGAAAATATAAAATCCTAATCCACACATTGGACTTCTAGTGTATAGCAGTTGTTTTCTAAGTATACTTTTATTGTAAGGGTCACCTAGGTAATTTTTCATAAGCCATAAGGGATAAAAAAATTCCAACAGATATGAGCTTCTGGGGTGACATGAGTGGTGGGGCCATTCCTCAACTGTCTCTGTAACATGATGTGATTCTTGTCAGGTTCCGCCTTGTTCCATTTTTAACTGAATTGAGAGCTGTAATGGACTGGGTGTGGACAGACACGACCCTGAGCCTTTCCAGCTGGATTTGTGTGGAGGACATTTATGCTCACATATTCATCCTGAAGTGTTGGCGAGAATCAGAAAAAGTAAGAAACCAATAAAAGTGCCTATGTCCTTGTTCGTTTCTCTTCAACATAGGCTAAGTATAAGATTAATGTGAAGTTCTAGAAGTTTTGTGGCCAAATAAATGGGGGCGGGAGCAAAAATGACTAGGACTCTTAAATGTCCCATCAATTTCCAATCCACCAGAGTTGGGAATTTTAGACTCATTGCTGCTTTTTTCAGCAATATCATCCAGATGTTTTCTTTTGGCAATTGTATAATGTAGTTCTTTTAGGAAAAAGAAATGATATATTGCTGTCTAACACAATAATACTTAAGTGACCATATGAGAACAGGAGAAGATGGGATTTGGTGAAGAAAAGTGGGGTCAGGTGGCTTGGATTCATGCTTACCCTCTGAGTCACACTTTATGAAGGACAGATAATTTAACCTCTTTGTGCAAAAGAAATTAGAGTGCAAACATTTGCTTATTCTGCCAGATTGAATATTAACATTTAAGTATGGACAGAACTGCTATTTTTCAATGGATTTTTCAAACGTTTAATATAATAGGAACCTGATGCATAACAGTGATAGAAATACACAACAAACATTAGCCAAAGTGGTATGAAGTGTCTTTATTTTCTTTGATACTATGCTCTTTGGAACAAAATCCCCTCTAATCTATAAAATTTAGAGTATTTTCTGCAGCTTCCCCTGGTAATTTTAGCTTCACAGTCAGGGAGCTTGTTTTATTGTGGCCTTGGTGTTTATGGGGTTTATGGGAGTGAAGGTGATGGGGGCTTACAGTAGACTTTTAAAAATATTGGCTTATCCTGACTTTTAAGGAATCCACAAATGATTACAGAATATGGGAGTCACTCTACCAAAGGGACATTGAAGGTAGCAGGAAATTGGCCAAGAAATCCAGAAACTCAGGTGACCACAAAGCAGGGAGGGACCGAGTAAATAGGGAGGAACCAATCCCCAGTAGGATCACTGGTCATTTGGCTTGAGGATGAACATGGAAGGGAAGGCCTGTGGGTTAGCAGCTGGAGGCACTAGACTTTGGGCAACTTCCCCCTTTGTGTTGAATTGGGGCAGGACCTAGATACCCAGCTTCACTCACCCAGGAGTACATTGGCACCCATACCAGTGACTGGCAAATGGAGAAGTGCACTTCCCCACCACATCCTCCCAGTAACCAGTGATGGAACTCCCCTGCCCCCACCCATCTGGCAACAATGATGCCCTTCTTGCCACCCTACCCTCACCCAGTGATCTGCTTGGCCTTCTTTGCCCCCAGCAAACCCCCTGTGCTCTGTTCCCTGGCAGCCTGTGGTGCATATACACAGATTGCACACTATGCATCCACTGCCTTTGCAGTTGGTGATGAACAGTCATGCCCAATGCCATGACATTTTCCCAGAAACTGCACACTGCATGCTACTGCTTCTGCAGTCACAGGTGTTTATTTTCATGGATTGGGCACCATATGCCCACTGTGTCTACAGTTGGAGGCACACCCTCACACCCACTACCACACAGCCTTTCTCTCTCTCTCGCTCTCGCTCTCGCTCTCGCTCTCGCTCTCAACTCTCTTTTCTTATTCTTTCTTTCTCTTCTTTGTTTTTGTTTTTGCTGATTTGGTGGGAGGCAATGACCACATCCCAGCTAGCCATCCATACCTTCCACAAGTGCTACCTGCCACCCCAACCACTGGGTAAGAGCCACACAAGTGGCTGGAGTAACACACTGTGGTAGTTAAGGTTGTGTGTCAACTTGGCTGGGCCATGGTTTTCAGTGGTGTGGCAGCTAGATGTAGCTGTTCCCCATGATGAGATTGGATATGGTGTAATCAACTCCATGGTAGAATCTTCTGTGAGACCTTACCAGTGGAAGAGGAATTGTCTTCAGGGTGTGACCTGCTGCCAGTATATATGGAGAAACTGTGGGAAAGGTCTCTAGTTTTTTGGCATATTTGCATCCTGCATTTGGCCGAGTCTTCATCTCCACTTCCTGTACTAGAACCAGTGGCCTGCAGTGTTACCTACTGATCTTGGAATTAAGCCATTTTAACTGTGAATCTTTGGTTCATCACCCTAAGAAGCCTACAGCTGTCTGTGTTAGAAAAGCCTCCAGCTACAGTTGGCCTGGAATAAGAGGCAGAGCCCAAGGTTGAGGGGCCTTCATCCAGCCTTTACAGCTGGCACTCTGAATTTGGATTTCTAACCTCCTAAACTATAAAAGAATAAATTCATATTTGTTAAAGCCATCCACTTGTGGTAATTCATGTTTGATAAAGCCATCTACTTGTGGTATATCAGTTATGGCAGTTCTAGAGAACCAAAGCACATGCACATCCTGATTACCCATATCAGACAAATAAATAAATAAATAAAGATGAAACAAAGAAACATACTATGAACATATAAATACAACAATGCCACAATTTCCCAAGAAAATAAACAACTTCAAATCACATGCAGAAACAGGACAAGGTGACTCAAGCAAGTGAACAAAATAAAAAATTAGGTAACCTCCCTGAGAAAGAAAAAGCTATGGAACTACCTGATAAGGAATTCAAAAGACTTTTATATAGGGGCCTTCAGGAGAGCAAGGAAACAGATAAATTTAATAAAAACACAGACAAAACTCTAGAAATATTCAGAAAAACAAAGCAAGAACAGAATGACAAAATAAATAGACAATTAGGAACCATACAACAACAGCAACTAGAAATCCAGAAGATTAACACTAAACTTTCAGAAATAAATAACACATTAAGAAACAAAATGTATATTGCACTGTTGAATGAAAAACTGATTTCCTCTGTAAACCTTCACTTAAACCACAATAAAAAGTTGGGTTTTTTAAAATAATAATATTAATAACATATTTGAAAGAAAAGGAGTAGAATTAAATCAATGGAACATGGAATCAGTGAAATGGAGAAAAAAATCTCTTGATACCTATCTATTAGAGGAACAATCAGAAAAAAGAATGAAGAAAGCTTAATAATTATTTGTAACATTATCAAGAGAAATAACTTATATGTGATCAGAATTCCAGAACAAGAAAAGAAAAAGCCCAGAGAAAATTTTCAAAGATTTGTTGACAGAAAACTTCCCTAATACCATGAAATAATGAGAAGGTATGCATTCAAGAATCTCAACAGGCTACAAATAAGATAGATCTCAAAAGAAAGACACCAAGAGATACCATAATCAAACTCCCCAAAACCAAGGAAAAAGCAAGAATCCTGAGAGCAGTTTGGAAAAAACAAATGTTACTTACGAAGGAGAACCAATAAAACTGAGCTATGATTTCTCAGCAGAAAAGATGCAGACTATGCACACCCATGTTCATTGCATCACTTTTTACAATAGCCAAAACATGGAAACAACCTAGATGTCCATCAGCTGAGGAATGGATAACCAAACTATGGTACATACACATAATGTACCATATGCAATGCTAAAGAATAAGGTAGAATCTGCAAAACACCGCATAATGTGGATGAACTTGGAGGACATTATGCTGAGTGAAATAAGTCAATCACAAAGGGATAGATATTGTATTAGTCCGTTATTGTAAAAGTTAAGGAAAGGTTTATCTATTGAAGGAAATTTTCTTCGTTGGTTACCAGGGGTGGGGTGGGAGGGGAGGGGAGGGAACGCTGTTAGATAGATAGCGATAGATAGAGATAGATATTGATTTGGGTGAAGAGAAAGGCAATGTACCAAATGTGAGTGACCAATATGGCAGCATTGAGGATGAGAAAGACATAGAGAGGTACATGGGAAGTACAGACAACAAATATGAACCCTTT